TCTGGGCAGGCTGCTGGGCTGCCTCCCTGCTGGCTGTTTGGGGAGTGTGGCTGTGCTTCTGCTGGTCTCAGCAGTTCCCTATGGGAAGGACAAGCTGCCTTGCTGCTGGGGTTCAGCCCCAGACAGGGCTTGTTGCGTGTATGGAGAAGGCAGGTTATCAGCAGCCTTGGGTTCCCCCTGGAAAAGCAGGATGACTTCGAGTGAAACCATGGATGGGAAACGAAGACAGCTCTTCCCTCCAGCCCCATGGCTCCTGCAGCAATAATTAAATGAGGAGTGAAGCTCTGCTTCCTGGCACAGGAGGCTGGGAAGCCAAGTGCAGCTGCGGTTATGCCTGAAGTTAGGTCCGTCAGACATCAGCATCATCTCAAGACAGATGTATCTGTAAAAGCTGACTCTCAGATGGTATCTGGTGAAAGGATGCTTTGCCTTTTACTTCTGAGCTTTTCAGTGCAGTTACCCTCCTAGCTTGAAGAGTTACTGCTCTGAGACTGCATTCACCACATGCCCATGCAGATGGACCAGTTTTATTTATTTTTGTCTGCTTTGTTTTTTTGTCTTTGTCTGGCAACTGCACTATAAAGGAAGGCTATTTGTGAGGTACCTCTGTAGTCACAGTGCTTTCATCCTACTTGCTTTCCTTTGTGCAGGATGCTTGTTACTGATGGGCCGATTCCACAGTCACTAATTATTAAACATCCACTACAAATACTTTCTTCTTTGCCACCCTGGGGAGATTTTTAGAATACCAGATTTGTTTGTTTATTTTCAAATCGGTGTAGAGCTAAACTTTCTGTGTTGCCCCTGCAGAGGTGGTCAGCCAAGCATGCAAAATGGGTTGAAATCAGCCCCAGTGAGTGGCTCTGACGTGTGGCTTTCACTGACCAGAGTTCTCTTCTGCTCACAGTGGTTGCCCAAACTCAGCACACCAGGCTTCGTAATGATTAATTGCTCTAAACCAGGTGTTGAAAAAAAAGTGGTATGGATGGACTCCATGTATGCATATCATTTGAAAGCACTGTGTTGTGGTGCAAACTGTCAGTAATCAAATTTCCATTACCCGGCAATGGGTGTGAACAGGCAAAAATACTGAGTCAACAGAATGCCAATTCAAGATCTGCAGGTATCCTGCTTTAAATATGGCAGCAGGGTTAGGAGATGCTTTCCCAGGAGGCTGTCTAGTGAGTAAGCACTACTCAGTCCTTTGTATTTTTTTCCTTTCTCCTGAGAAACACCTATTTCTATCAGAGCATGCCATTGGATGAATGAGATCAAGGCCTCTTGTCAGAGCCTATAGCAGGGATTTGGCATGGGTAAAAGTAGTGAGCAGGGCTGTTCTCTGAAGGTGGGAGGGAAGGTGATTTACTTTGTAAATTGGTTAATCTTGCTCTAGAAATAGAGGATAATTTTCAAGAATCTTGGGAGAATGATCAGTGATGGGCTTTGGTTGGACAACAATCAACTATGGAATCATAGAATGGTTCTTAGTGCTGGGCTTGTGGTGTGTTTCTGTTCCCTCTGCGCCTTCGGTTTTGGATGCAGTGCAGTTGCAGGTGGTTACTGGTGCTGGTGAAACCTTACCCTCTCATTGAGAAAACATGAGCAGCAGCTGTCCCAGCAGCTTTGTGTTCACCTGATCCCGAGCTCTGGGTCACCAGGAGGGTGGGTTGCTTCTGAGTTCATCACAGTCTCTGTGTCTTTTTCAGTTTTGTAACTTTTCTGGTTTTTGCTTCAAAGCTGGATGTCTTAGCTACATCACTCAGGAGTTGTGAGACTTAATTAATATTAATGGAGCCCATTATGGGAAGTTAGCCATAGACAGGAGTTTCTTTAAAAGGTGAAATCATAGTAATAACGATGAGAGTATCTGTGTTGCTTGGATACTGAGAGCTGCCCCAGCCTGCTCCTCGGTGTTTGCCTTTCATTACAGTTATTTTCCCCCCACCTTGTGGAAAAAGACTTTTAAAAGAGGGTAATTATTCCATTGACAGTCATGACTACAAAGATGAGTCTTTTCCCTGAGCTTCATTTTCTTGCCATTTGGTGTTGGCTCTGCCAGCTGCAGGCCCCATGGATGCTTGTAAGCAATAGTCCAGTGAGAGCCACAGCTGGCAGGCAGTGGCAGAGCGCGCTGCATCATTGCTGGTTTGTATTGGGAGCATCTTAGGACTGATCCTTACTTCTCATTTTTCCAGTCTGTCTTCAGGACTGGTTTCCAAGCAGGCAACACATCTGCCAACGCAGCCATCTCCCAGCACAGACCTCGGCCACTCATCTGTGAACACGTGTTTCATCCAGATCCACAGCTGCATGTATTCCACAGCTTGTAGATGCAGCCTGGAAAGAGAGCGACTGCATGTTCTTGAGAGAGCTGCAGCAAGAGTATGTGAGCATCAGAATAATCACGAATCAGCTAATCAGGAGTTCCAATTGTGTGGGTATCAAATCAGTTGTATTTAGTGGAATAAAGTAGGTAGTCGCCACTGGAGCCTGATTACCTTTTTAAAGAGTGCTGCCTGATTAGGTTAAACTTTGTGCCATTTATGGCTGGTTTTGGATAAATGGGAAAAGTCAGAGATGGGATCAGACATGTAAGCTGGTCCAGATTTTGAGAGTGAAAAATTCAGACTTGAAGCCAAACCAAGATCCGTGTTCTGCTCCCAGATCCTCCAAGCTGGAGCTCTTTGGTGTTCTTGTGTAGGAAATTATTTGCTACCATGCTTCATGTAGAGCCATGGAACTAACTTAACTCTTTAGGCCTCGTGAAGGCATGTGTCCTCAGTACTGAGCTTTAACCAAAGAAAAGGTGCTGAAATACTGAGTGGTTTGGATGCACACAGATGTGCATAAGAAGGTATTTCATCAGTTCCACGGCTTTCAATCCAGCATCTTTGCAGGTCACCACATGTATTCTGTTTAAGCCTTTTGATTAATTACGCCGTACCCAAACCATACATATTTATAGCTTGCAGAACGAGATAAATTCTCCAGATGTGGCTTCCTTTTAGTTAAGTGGAGATGAATGGAGATCAAAGCCTTTGATGTGCAGCCTGCCTCCAACTCACTGCTGACACCGGCCGCTGGAAATCATGCACTGAAGGGAGCTGGGCACACCAAACTTGGGTATGAGGCAGCTAAAGCAAAACCTATGAGGAAAACACTTTGTGGAGGATAAATCTATGTGCGCCATTGGGTCCCTACTTGTGAAAGTGGAAGGCAGTATTCAATGAACCCTTTACTCTTAAACAAGGTATTTAAGTAGATCAATTTTATGTTCCAGCCCAGAAATGATTTAAGGCTTTTCAGTGCATGGATATCCTCTGTGATACACAGAACTGGCAGAAAATGTCATCGTGAGCTGCTTTATAGCCTCAATTAAGGCTATTTCCATTGCTCCAGATGCGTAAAGCAGACTTATAGCTGAGTTCCTGCTATAGAGAAATCCCTGGTGTGTCCTCGGATCAGAGCTGCCAGCTCAATGATGTCTTCTTCACAACCCTTGGAAAAAATGATGGATAGCCAGGGAGCTGCAAATTCAGATTGAGCTCTCACACTACGATCACTTACAGGAGTCTCAGCTGGTTGGAGCCATAGCACAGTGCTTACCCAGTGGCCAAGTGGCTGCTCTGCCTGTCTCTGCCACTTTGGAAGCTGCCTGCATGATGTGCCAAGGGAGCTCTGGCTGCTGTGCTTTGCGTCTTGAACTGCTCTGTACAATGAAGCTGATACTACAAAAAAACAAATCCAACCCAAACTCAAAGGCACCATGGAAGCATTGGCCTGCAGTGACCCACAGCAATCTGGGCCAGAACCCGAAGATGCGGATTGAGGGCCTTCTCTGAGACTTATGGGCAATTTTTGGATATAAAAGATGAGCAGAAGTGTTGAAGGTGGAGCTCTTGGGCACCTCGTGTGGTGAGAAGAAAGGAGGTGAAAATCTGAAAATGGAAGACCGGTGATGCTGCCAAAGGACCTGTAGTGCTCATGGTCCATAGAAGGGAAGGGAAGCTGGTCTTAACAACTGGGAGTTCCATGAGCTTGGGGAACTGATGGCTTCCATGGGAGGGAAGAGGCCAAAATGCCAATTATTCCAGTGCATAGAAAATACAGGAGATGCAGCTGGTCTCCTGAATCAAATTCCTTATTGGCATCAGAGGAAATAAGCATGAAAACTGGTTGGTCTGTAAGATTACTGCAGATGATCATAAAGAAATAGCTCAAATCTGTAAAGAAAAAAACATAAACGAAGAAAATCCAATGTAGCTAGTAATAGACTTTGGGGGTAACAAGAAATGGCTCTTGAACCCACTGATAAGAGAAGGGAGAGCAAATTAAAGATTTGTCTGTTACATCAGCGAGAGAAAAAGCTCCTAATCAATGAAAATAAGGAGTTTATGTTCTTTCTATCCAATCTTCAATAAGAAACAAATGGTGTATAAGCATGTGCCACAATTAATATTAACACATGAAAAAAATCAGTCTAGATGAGGGAAAAACAGACTAAAGAGCTCTTAGATAAGTCAGAGGTTTTTAAATTGGCTGGGGCTGCCTTAATCCTACAGTACTGAAGAACTGGCTTTGGTAATCTCAGAACTGTTAATGGTATCTCTGAATTCATGGGAGGACTGGGGTGATAGCAGAAAACTGATGTATTGCTTATCTCTGAAAGGTGGGAGAGGTGAGGGAAGAAGGAGCAGGAGAGTGATGCAACAGTCAGCTTACCCAGAACATCCAGAAAACTGCTGCAACAAATAATCACCACCCTGGAAAATAAGATGAGCAGCAGCCAGTACAGGTTTGCTGAGAACAGATCGTGTCAAAGCACTCTAATTTCAGTTTAAAGACTAACAGACCGTGTGGCTAGAAGGAAAGCAGTAGATGTCAAATATATTGACTTCTGTCAGGCATTTGACAGTGCAGATATTTTGGTTTTGTCCTCTTGCAGCATTTTCATTTATATTTTCTTTTATATTTTTTTAGGAAGATAATTTAGAGGAAAATTAAAACTGGGCATCACCCAATTTAAAGCATCCTTCTAAGCCTAATGCTCCAATGTAATGTCCGAAGTTGAAGGTGAGCCTCAGAGCTTGTAAAGGCTGCCATGGTAAGCTCTTCTATGCCTCTCAAGAGCTAAGCTGGGGGCTCAGATCACCTCTTAAGTGGCAAAGTGTTGTGTATTTGCAGTCAGTGAGTACAGGGAAGGGAGCAAGCCATAAAGCATCCTCTACTGCAGACCCACCTGGAGCAGTGTTTGACCCTCCAGACAGTAGCTAAAAGTCAAAGGCACTGCCTGGTAGTGATGGATGTTATTCATTGCCAGGAACTCTGAGGCTTCTGCAGTGCCACAGGTGCACAGCCCACCCCAAGAGAGGTGCTCCAGTTTTGCAGTGGTGCTAAGGTTGCTATTTCCAATCAGCCTGTATCCTCTGCAAGGTACCTCTACTTCTACCATCCAAGAAATGCCTACAACCAAAGCTGTCCCCCCAGAGGCGGCTGCTTCTCACTGCCATAGCAGTGGGCAGCACCAAGCAGCACATCTGTCCAGGGCAGCCCTGCTCCTTCCTCACCTGGGCAGTGCTGTGCTGCAGGCAGCTGCTCGTGGCCTGGCCCTTCCTGTGGCAGGCAGCAGAACAAATCAGACGCTTTGCATTTCATCAACCTTCCTGGAGAGCGCTGCACAATTGTTCCCACAGCAGGATGCTGAGCAAGCCGGCCTCAGCGAGCACCACCTTCCTCTGCATCGCTTCATCTGTCTGGAAGAAAGGAATCAAGGGAAGGAAATGAAGACGTTACATCTGTAATCATATTTCACAGCTGCACAGCAATTTTCCTCCCAGTGCATTCAGCAGCTGGGATGCTGTGACCTCTGCCATAGCGGGCAGCAGCCAGCCCGTGGCTTACTGTGCAGCTTAATGGAGGAGTGCTTTGCTTGGAGCAAAAGACATCCTTTTTGTTTTCAGGTGTTCTCGCAATATTCCCTGGCAGAGGTCACCTTGCAGTGCTGGAGGGTCGGGCAGTTGCTTCCCTTGTAAGGTGAGGGTCAGCTGTGCTACTGCCTGTCCCCTCCCTGGCACGTGTTGGCTGGCTGGTGCCTGGCAGGTAAGTGCAGTGTGAGGGATCCAATTCTGAATGAATACCCACTCCAGCTGCTCTCTGTGCTGGGATGGGCTGTAAGGTAGCAGGCTGAGCTGAAGACAACATTTGCTAAGGAGGTGAGTGCCCCTGTGCTGCTTTTCTGGCACAGCTGAAGTTGGGATGTTAAAAATGAGTTAATTTCTTCACGAGGCTCAGAATGTAATATTAAATGATAAGGATAATGTATCCAAGCTGAAGCCCTGCATACAGATCCACATTTGTAACTTCTCTTAGCCACACACTGCAAACAGTCACCTAAATTTTGAGCATTTCAATACTGGATTTTAAACCTATTTGGTTTGTAATATATGACCCTTGTTAGAAAGGCTCAGGTTAATTTGTCTCAGTTATGTATCATCAACGTGTTGCCAAAATGATGTAGACTATAGGGTGAGATATTACCAAAGTGTTCTTAACAATGCTTGCACCTCGTACTTCACCAAATATTTATGGTATGGCTTTCTTATGCCTGATTCCTTTGTTGAATGGAGCAGAGCAGCAGATCCCATGTGACACACCATGTGGGCACTGGCTGCAACCCAGCGGGGCTGCAGAGCTGATGGGCATCGGTGGGCAGACTTCTGCTGTGTTTGTTGGGGAAGCAGTGAAAAGGATTAGAGCACAATGCAGAGGACCAAAACTTCAAGATCACTTTTGCTTGCCTCTATTGCTCCTTAACCGGGCTGCAGTTGTGGTGCTTGAACAAAATGCCATCTGTATGATGAACAGCCTTTGCTGCTGGGTGTGATGTAAGTGCTGCTGGACTTAGGAGAGCTGTGGTTTGTGAGAAGTCAGACTCCTGCTCCATTGCATCTGCATGTCAGCAGCACTGGAACGCTCATCAGGGACATTTTTCTCCTTAACAGCCAACTTCTGGTCATGCTTAATTACAGCAATCACTTCTTATTCTGCTTTATGATGATCCGGTATCATAAATCTTCTCTGCAGTTAGTAGAGAGGTGGTTTCTTGTCAATCCTGCACTGCAGAAAGACTCTTTGCCTTAACTCTAGATGGAAGGAAAGCTGAAAAATTCCCTCTGCCTCTTGGAGCAGTTTCTTGTTGATGCAGTTCTATCCTGCTGGCAGGAGATGAACAGCAGTTCCCCCTTCAAACCCTCCTTTGCATGTAGGTTCCTCAGGTTGCTCACTTCGGTTAGCACTGTTCCATTGGATGCTGCCAGCTGAGGTGCAGGCACACAACCAGCTGTAGGTCCATGTTGGGGAACCTGTGGCTCCTGACTGCTCTGTTCTGAGTACCCCTCATGGAGACCCCTGGAACTTGCAGGTGTGAGTGGCAAACAGGTGGGAAGGTCATAGAGTAGCTTGAGTTGGAAGGGACCTTTAAGATTATCTAGTTCCACCCCCTTGCTATAGGCAGGGATACCTGCCAGCAGACCAGGTTGCTCACAGCCCCATCCAGCCTGGCCTTGAGCACCTCCAGGATGGGAGCATCCACAACCTTGCTGGGCAATCCGTTCCAGTGACTCATCACACAGTAATGAATTTCTTCCTAATATCTAGTCTAAATTTTCCTTTTTCCAGTTTAAAGCTATTTCCCCTTGTCCTGTCACTACATGCCCTTAGCATGATGATCTGGTTTGTAAAATGGGTGATGCAGTATGGAAGTAGAAAAATCTCTCAATCGCCTTTTGCAGCGTAGCCAGCAGTCTGCATGCCTCTGCCTGGCTCTACCTGTGTGCAGCCTGCATCCCTGGGGGGGGGGGACCATTGGCTTCATCTGTAATGAAAAAAGCATACAGCCTAACAAAAGCCCCAAAGCCATATGGTTCAACATCTGATTTGTTTCAAGTCACTCAAGTGACAAGCTGAAAACCCTCCCTTTCACATATGCTTAGGAGTTGGGGTGTGGATTTCTCCAGAAAAAAGCCTTCTGCCTGCCTTTGAAGGCAGGGCTCTGCCTTTGATGTAGCAGTGAGCAAGGAGGTGGCCGTGTGCTGCGGCACAGCGATGGCTCTGCTCCCTCCCAGGTAACTGCCCTGCCGCCTTATTTACAGCTCATACAGAAAATGAGAAGCAGAGCCTTACGGAGCGCTGCTAATCTTGACCAGGCCGGGTTTATTGTAATATGAAGCACAGCGTATGCAGTGTCATATCTGCTCTGCTGTTAAGGAAAGGGAGACTTTTCATTCTAACAGACTGAAGGGTCAGGCGAGGGAACGAGTGGGCACTTCTGGCCCTGAAATAGCTGCTTCTGGAGGCTGCTTGGGGCAGGTTTCCTTAGAATGGGAACAAGAGCAGTGGGATGTGATGTGCAGCCCTTGGGGTTGGGCTGCAGGGAGGAGCTGCAGCCATGGCTGTGGGGAGCTCAGTGCTTGGGGCAGTTAGGAGCCTGCAGGAAATGAAGATTAAAGAAGTGATAGGGATGGTTCCATTATAGGAATGGCACAGCGTGAGAGATGCTGGGGCAGGACCTTGGGGCATAGCAGGGCCTTCCTGGGTGTGCAGGAGGGGCTGATGTCCTGCAGCAGAGCTGTGCCCAAATGGAGGCAAAAACAATGACATTCAAATCCCAACTTGGACAAAGCGACGAATCTAAATAACGTGAGGCTTATTGCAAATTGAAATTCGAATCTAAATTTCAACAAATGCTGCCGGTCGCTGCTTTCTTTGGTATGGCAGCCCTCTCCTTCTCCCCAGCTCCCTTACCAAGTGAAGCAGCACCGTAACCATCCTCAACCTACTGTAGTGTGGCTGCACAGCCATGCACTGCTCATCCCACACCACGTCCGAACCCAGTGCTGTGCCCAGGGCCATGCACTGCCTGCAGGCTGCAGCTCTCTGCACTGTAGTGCTGGCATGGAGCTTTGTTTTTCTGAGGGGGAAATTTCCCTTTCTTTTGGTTATTAAATTGTCTGTCCTGAGTTGAAGAGTGTGTTGCAGCTGAAATGCTGAAAAAGGCACAAAGCTGCTAATACAGAGCTACAGCAGCAATTTGGTTTGCTCTCACACGGTAAATAAGAGTTACCTGCTATTCTTTGATCAGCCTTTTTTTCTGTTACGAACTGAATGTGTTGACAAATCGTGTCACCGAAAAGAAATGCAAGGCTTTGATGAAATGAAATGAAATGAGCGTGTGCTGGAGGCTTGGAAATGCAGCTGGGGAGGCTGGGTGGGATGCAGTGTGGCTGGGGGTGCCGGGGAGGTGGCAGGGATGGAAAGAGTGTGCTGAGGGCAGTGCCTATAAGAGGGAAGCAATGGGCACTGCAATGCTCTGTGGTGAGGGAGCAGGAAGGGATGGGGATTGGACCTGTGGCTTTACGATGGGAACTGCATGAAGCTTTAGGAAAGTGCCAGCAGCAGTGTTGGAAGGGTTTGGTGGTGGTCAGTATGGGAAGATTCTGGGTTTCTGTGAACCATTCCCCAGAATGCTGGATAGCACCAAACTGAGAGGTTTCTGTGTCTGCTTCTTGAAAAGCTTGGTGTTGGTGCTGGGGGACAGAGATGCCACAGATGAGTGGATGCTGGGGGGCACTGCTTTGGGCTGGAGCTTTGCACAGCTGAAAGCATTGAGCTTCCAGCACTGCACTCACCTCAGCCAGCTCTACTTTCCTCCTGCAGCTCCAGGCTGTGGGTGCAGGAGATGTGCTGTGGCAGCATGCATGCAAAAGTCTCTTCCCTTGGGTCTTCCCCAGATATATTACTTTAATATTTAGGGAGTTGTCTAAATCTGACTTGCTGCCCAGCTGGGGGCATGGATGTGCTGACCCAGAGGGCTCTGCTCTCTCCTTGGCTGCTGTTGCTTTGTGAGCACCAGTGACCATTCCTAGCAAATCTAATAGCACTTCATATCAGTTCTGAGTTTGTCACTTCACCTTAATGAACACTGATTAATTAATCAGTATTAGTGAAATTATCCTTTACATAGTCAGATACTCAAATTAGTCAGTATTAAGTAGAAATCTTTGTTGTATTTTTGCAGTGGTTCCAGCACGTGAAGCGCCAGGAAAATGCAGTATAGTTGAATCCCTGTGTAGTGTGGGAGAAGCTCTGTTATGGAACAGGACTGAGGAAAACTGAGAGATGTCCTCTGCGTGTGAAAACATTCAGGAAATCATCCTTTGCTATTTACATCTGTAGTTGCTGGGTGTCATTTGCAAGGCACATTCTGTGTTCACCATGCCCGGGTCAGCCTTGTGTTTGAAGGCTGTCCACAGGAGTGTCAGCCCAGCAGGACTTACGCCTGCACAAACAGAACAGCAAGGCCTGAACATCCCTTCCCATGCCATGTGCTGGGACAAACAGCCAGTGGAGAGCAGCAGGGCGTTCCCAGAAGGGCTGAGGATGTGGCCAAACAGCTCCTGGCAGCAGGTGCCAGGGTGGAAGTGGCTGTGGTTCCAGATAAGATGTCAGGTGCAGTGTGGGACTGCTGGCGAGCTGAGAGCTGCTGGCGTTTGGCTGGAGAGCACTCAGGGCAGTGCTGCTGGGGCTTCTGCAACGTCCACACACCTTTAAAAATCCATTTCTAAATACTTAATATGAACTGCAAACGATGTAGTTGACACTGATATCTATTTCTCTTGTCTGTAAAGTGTGGTACTCCAAGCTGAATGCCTGTTTTGCACCCTGTGAGTGGGGCTGCTGCTGTGCTGTAGCACATTCTTGCACAGTTCATTGCTGGAGCATGTGGTTTCAGCACGTCCTAATGCAATAGGTGCAGATTGTTCCTGGTTTTGTGTACATATGTGTGGAACTGAGAATGATAATTAAATTGATCCTTTCTTTCTCACTGAAAGCTGACAGTTGACCCTCGTGTATAGGTTCATTACTGCATATACTGTTTCTGTGCTGAGGCACTTTTTTTTTCCACCAGTCCGAGGGCAGCTCTGCCCAATGCTTTCAGTTCTCATTGCCTTCTCTTGAAAACAGAAACAGTCATATGAAAATGTGAAAGTACTGAAAAACTTGAGATGCTAAATGGGAGCTCTCTAAGTGGAACGACACCAGTGTAGGTAGGAGCATGCACTGCTCCTTCCCCAGGACACTCCATCCTGCCTTGTGCCAGCAGCCCACCCTGAGCACATTCTGTTCCTCAGCTCCACTGGGTGACGTGGGCAGTCAGGCTCTGCATCTCACGGCACAGTTGTACACTCCATCCTGTACGGCTCAACAAATGCATTTGAGCACAGCTTTGCTGCAGCTCTGCCAGTTTTCCACTTGCACAGGTCCTCAGCAAAAGGTATGGATCCATTTGTTGAAAACAGCTGAATCAGGAATGGAACATCTGCCCAGGAACAAACGTTTTGATGAGGCCATGGGTGGCAAAACGTTTTCTGTGGTACTTTTTTTTTTTGCCTGAGGCACCTCCCTTTTGCTGTCAACATAATACATCATCTGTCTGGGAGCAGTAGCAGTGAGATGGGATTACTGACAGCTTCTCTGCTTCTTTATTCCTTGCCTCTCATCACAGCCACTGCACAGCATGGGGAATGACAGAACATGGAGCTCCTTTGCTGGTGCTTTGCTCAATTAACCCACACAGGGCTGGGGACTGCCCTGGAGGAGGATGGAGATTAGCCCTGAAATCCTTCTGATCCTGCAGGAGTCCTGCTGTACTCAAGGGGCCTTTCCACCTGCAGTGAGTGCAGAGGTGTCCCTGGGCTCCTTCCTAGGGGCTGGGAAAGGGAGCTGTGGGAAGCCCACCTGCTGTGTCCCAGGAGGTGCCGGGGCTGCAGGAACCAATGCTTCCTCCCAGGGGGGAGATGCATTGCTCCATCTGAGCTTTGCTGCACTGCCTATGCAGAACAGATCTTTCTCCTCCCCTCGCCTTAAGGTTTGCACCTTTGCTTTGTCTGCATCTACTGGATCTTGCAGGAAAGTCCCTGGAGTAGGGTCACAGCTGTGCAGGAGCTGAGCACCTTTCGCCATGGAAAAAGGGTCAGAGCTGGCAGGGGAAAGCCTCTGGGTGATGTGAAAGGGCCTTGAAGCTACCTGACTTGAGGAGAAAGCCAGGAGGGGTAAAACAGTCCATGACCTCTCCATGCTGGCCTGATTGGAGCTTGAAAAGGAGCTGTGAAGCCCTGCTGCTCGAGCGGTGACCTCCTCCCTGTGAAAGTTAATTCAGCCAGGAGCAGCCTGAAAGCTCTCGAGATCCGTATCTGTAAGGGGCAGGGATGGCCCTCAGCCTTCAGGAGAACAGCAGTGCTGTGAGGGAAGTTCCAGGAGAGATTTTGCAGCTTCCTGGAGTTATCTCAAACTTTCATCTCCAAATGCAAAGGCTCATACAGACTTTGTATTCTGTTAGTGTAATACCAAATGTCCTCGTTCTTCAGGTATTTATAGCAACTTACACAGCTCCCATAATAGCTTTTTTGGCTCAGCACCTCACAACAGAGTGCATTGTTATCCCCTTTCCATGGATGTGGAATTAGGGCACACAGATGCAGCCATTTCTGCTGGATTTCCCATAGCCCAGAGCAGAGCCCTGACCCCACAATGCTGTGAGATGCCCCGGATGTGTTCAGAGCCCTTGCTCTGTGCCTCAGTTTCCCCATCCACAGAAGTTGCATTGTAGCAGGTTAACCAGCAGACTGAAGTGGTATAAAGCTGAATTACTTTCTGCTAGCATCATTTCTTGCACCCTGATAGCGCAATCAGCATGATGCGCTTTTGCATTATAATGTGGTGGTGATGTTATGCTGCAGTGTATAAATTAAATTCTTCAGTATTATCCCCTACTGACAGAATAACTTGATAGTGGGAATGGAACTCAAGCCTGTCCTGGATTGGATTGGGAGCTCGGGGAAGATGGGTCCCCCGAATACAACCAAAGTGGTGATACAGAGGTGGAGCTCCATAGTGTTTCCATTAATGCTGCCATAGGAATGTCTGCAGCTCACAGTCCCTGTGTCTCATCCTGCTGGTACTGAACACACGTGTAGCCATGCGCCTCCTCCTGCAGGGCTGCAGCCCAAAGCCATGCCTGCTCTGCAGGACTGTGCTCCAGCACTTGTACATCAAAGGTCTGGAAGGCCTTCGGTGGAGATGTGCTGTGCAGATGGGAGCTTAGAATTTCTAACGGGGAGGTATAGATGCAGGACCCCTTAAGGATTGCATTCAGCGCAGTGCAACACCTCTCTATGGCCAGGGCCTTAATGTGCTCCGTTTCATGATGGTGATTGGTTGGATTAAGTTGTACTGATACAAGCAAAGTAGGAATGAGACAGTTGCAATAAATGCAATGAGCAGTGCTTGCTCTGTGCCAGCTGCAGAGCTTTGGACACAGTGGGCATGCAGGGCTGGAGGTGCTGGGCAGCACTTGGGGTGCCAGGACAGCCAGCTCTGTGCATCTGCTGCTCAGAGCAGACCCTGCTGGACCCAGGGCTGGGGGCACCCCTGGGCAAGCAGGGCCCTGCAGTGCAGCATCAGTGTTTCTGACCTGCGGGATGCGAAGGAGGAAAAGGTGAAACGGCGAGGGCAGCAGTAGAAGGAGGCTCAGATTACATCAGGGCTGCCTTTTAATTGCATCGTTGAATTCCAGTTTCTAACTCCCCGAGACGAGACATCAAACAGAGTGTTAAAATTGCTCGAAACCAAGCTGCAAGTCTCAACACCAGAATGCCTATTACACTTATCTGTGACCTTTTTAACGTTAAAACCACCATATTATTATTATTTTTACATCTCCACGTTATTATTAGGCTTCTGAAATCTGCTGCAGCTTGATTTATGGAAACTGCTTAGTCACTGGCACCGGTGCTGTGCTGTGAGGGAGGGATGCTCTGAGGTACCTTGGCAGCCCAGCAGCCCCATTGCCCGGGCAGCCCTGTGCCCTCGGCTGCTCACAATCTGCCTGCTGGCAGCCTTCTTCTGTGAAGGCTGTGGGGAAAATGACCCCACACCCACTTAATGAACCTCGCTGATCAACAGGGTCACACCAGCTTCATTCTTCACATGAAAAGCAAGCTTTGGTTCTGCTGCATGCTTCGCCAGGAACTCTGCCCTAGATTTTAGACAGGTTGTGGGCTGGTGAAGTTGAGATTTGGGTTTTGGAAGAAGCGCTTTTGGTGACAGAAGCAAGAAATGCTGTTAGAGAAACCTCCTGCTTTTATTCTGGAGCGCTGCTGTGTCCTCTGCTGCCATCCAGGAGCCCTTGGAGTGCTTCCCCACAGATCTGTCTGCAGAGCCAGGATGGTGTGGGCTGCCTGGTGAGGTGCAGGCAGCCAGCACAGGCTGGGATGAAGCTGTGGGTGTCCCTGCTCATTGCAGGGGACTGGGACCCGAGGGGCTTGAAAGGTCCTTTCCAACTCAGCCATTCAGTGACTCCGTGGCTCTCAAAGCCCAAACAGGGAAGGGTTCTGTGCCCAGCCGTGTGCTGCTGTCCATGACCCTGCTCAGCTGAGCTCATACCCAGAGCAGACGCGGCAGGACAGGCCCTTACATGACAGCACTCACCCTGGGTTTTACATACATGAGACCATAGTAAGTGCTAATAATTGACTGCAGTCTAAGCACACCAATTACAGACCTGTTTCTCGCTATTATTTGCTGAGTAATGGTTGTGTTGAACTCTTCATAAAGCAAATGCAAGATCCCAGACCTCAGCTCTGCACCATGCGTGCCTGCATGGCTCCAGAGGGACAGCTGCTCCCCTTCTCCTTGCTCACACCTTGCTGTGCTGCAGAGCTGCCATCTGGACCTCAGCAATAGGCAAAAGGAGAGGGATAACAGATCCCAACTGCCTTCATCCCAGTGTCTTCTGTGGGTAGGTTTGAGGCTCACTAATGGAGCGTGCCTCCTTGCAACACACTGCTGTCTTGGCGGTCCAAATGGGAAAGCCAAAGAACACCCCTGGAGTAAGGAGCTTAGGCCTGCATGTCATTTGCACTGGAATAAGCCTTTGTTGAACATATTTAAGGAGCTACCAGAAGTAAAACAATCACTGTGCTTGGCAGAGTCTGGTGGACAAAAAGAGGCACAGATATAAAGTCCTGAACTGCTGAGAGCAGTTGGAAATAACGGATTAGTTCTTCTCTCCTGACTCAACGCCTTTATTCTTTCAGACACGATTTTTTATTGCTCCTGCTCTTGTAATGTGTTGTGGTGACTCAGTGAAAGGTCTGCAATAATGTTTCATTGCTGGGAAGTCACCAGATAGCCACAATTCATCGCCCAGCTCACACAGTTACAAGTGCTTAGAATACAGCCAGAAATGGGCCGTAATCGATAGCAGAGGATAACATAAGAGCTGGGGAAAGCATTGCAGAGCATGTATTGAGGAATTACACACTCAGAAAGCAATGTTCTGGACACGTTCTGGGAATGACACGAGTTATCCAATGCTGTACCTGGTGGGATAGCTGTGCTGCCAACGTGTACTCTCACCTTTCTATTCCAGCAGACCACCCCAGCCCTGCCTGCTCTGTATGACGGCAGGGATGTCTGTGTGCTTCCTGTCGAGCCCCTTCCTGGGGACCTGATTCAGTGTGCTCTCTCTGCAGGGCCATCTGAGAGCCACGAGCTAAGCTTGGCTTTGTAGCAAACCTGTCGACTTAAGGCATTTGGGGACATAAATCCAAACAGATCCGCGTTTTGTGTAACGTACTGTCAGCCAAGTCCCTTTTGCTAAAAGGAATTATATTCTAAAGCAAACACAAAACACAGCAAAACTGGGAGAATATAAAAATTGAGTGCTGGCTGTGCAGCATCGTACAGCCCTGTCCCGGTCTGGATCCATTTCTCAACTATTGTCTGCTTTCAGCCCAATAGTAAAGTCATATTTATTTACTTGGCTCCGCTGCGTTAATGAAAAAGCCACTTAACAAAACAAATAGAAGGAAGGACATTTGCAACCAATTATGGTATTGCTGATCAGTCAAATTGTGCTGGAAATTACATGTTGGAGTTCATTCGAGGCAGCTGATCAATTACCTGGTAGTTTGGCATCGGCGCGCGGTATCAACTTAATAAATCAATTTAATTTCAGCCGCTGC